CTCCCAGGTGCACCTGCTGGCTGGCACGCAAAGGGCTACCGAGAGGCCCTCTTTGCATAACTGCCCAGCCTTTTGTCCTTCCTCCTAGTGACAAACCCTTCGAAAGAATCCTTTTCTTCTTCATTTCTTTTCTCCGGCAGCCTCTCTGTCATCCAGCTTTCCTGCTAGCTCCCAGTATCCTCAGTGGCTCAGGAACTGGGGAGCTTCCTCTCCCTTTCTCTCCACCCACCCTGCCCCAAACGCCAGGGACCTGGTGGGCCTGGGATGCTTGAGGAGGGGTGGGTGTCTTGCTAAAAGACAAGATGGAGAATAAAATGCTGGGAGCTGAAAATTAGAAAGTAGGCTTCCTCCTTGATCTTTCTGATTCTGCCATCCACCTACCATCCCAGGGCCTGCCTAGCCACCCAGGGGATCCCCTTGCTGCCTTTGGCAGATGCACTTCTTACTCTGGCCATCACCATCAATGGTACCCTGGTCTTCACTTATTCATCTTTTCCTGGATTCCAGTGGATAGCCGGGGTGCCCCAGCAGAGGCAGGCAGCTTAGTATGTCTCTGGAAAATGCTGGCAGCCTGTCTATGTGTAATCCCAACTGAAGGCTTGGAGTCATAGCCCTTTTGGAGAAATTATAACCATTATAGTCAAATTGGTATGGGTTCAAATCCTGGATTAGGCCCCACTAGCTGTGTGACCTTGTGGAGATTACTTGATCTCTCTGAGTCTCCATTTTCCTTCAAAATAGTAACAACCGTGAGTACCTACCCTCTCAGGTTTATTGTGAGGATTACATGTGATAATGCACAACAAATGCTAGCACAGTGCCTGGCCCATAATAAGTTCCCAGTAAAAGTTAGCAAGCATAATTATTATTACTATTAATTGGCATTACCTGGTTAGAATCCAGGTTCCGCCATTTACGGCTACATGAGTCTTAGCTGCCTCCTTTGTAAAATAAGGATGACGTTCCCTAGGTAAAAGGGTTGTAGTGATCATGAAATCAGTTAATGCATGTAAAGCATTCAGGGCTGGCTGGAGGTCCTACCAGGGGAGTGGAACTAATTGTATCCCCTGGGATGAAGAACCGGTCCTCTTTTTCCTAGGAGCAATAGCAGGGTGCCCTGCTCGCAGTGAGTGATGGGCCCATAAACGGTAGTCAGTATTCCTTTCGTTACTGGAGGCCCAGACAGTCTCTATCCATTTATCCCTGGATTCTCAGTTAACAGTGGTTGGTTGCTTGGTTGGTAAGTGCTGATTACAGTCCAAGGTGCCAGTAAGGCTGCGCTGCCTCCATCCACTCTCAGTGTGCAGAGGATAAAAATAATGCCACTTATTAGCGTCGTCTCAACGTATTGATTTTAATAGGAAATAGACTTCTGGCTGGAAGATCTTCATTCTTCATCCAATTGTCATGAGATGGAAAAGACTGAATTCTTACCCCGAGGGAATCATCCTCAACAAATTTCAGCGCAACTGGAATGAGGGTTCCAGTTTTACTTGCAAGTGTTTCTTTTGCTGCATTTTGGTGCAGTGCTTAGAATGTTGAAGAATCCTCTCTGTACCCCATCTCCTGCTCTCCCTCCTCCCTCATTTCTGTTCGGCATAGGGAGTACTCAGAGCTTGTCAAGCAACAAAAACAAAACCGAAATCCAATACAGCTCCCGTGTGATTCTCTGGGGTGGGGGTGGGGTGGGAGACCTCCTTTTGGAAAAGAAATCAGCCAGCTTGCAGACAGGCTTAAGAACTCACTTTGGCCAGAGCAAGAAACAATGCAAATGCTACAACACTTCAGACCGGAATGAAGCAGAATAAGGACAAAACGGGGAGCCTTTTAGCAACTGACTAGGAGGCAAATTGATCTTGAGAAAGAATGACAGCTACCATTTACTGAGACCTTTTACATCCATTTTGTCATTCAATATTCCTGCTAACTCTAGGAGGGAAGTTCTATCATCTCCATCCCCAGACTCAGAGAGGTTAAGTGACCCATCTAAGGGTACACCTCTAGTAAGAAGCAGATTCCGGGGCTCCTGGATGGCTGTCAGTTAAGTATCCAACTCTTGCTTTTGGCTCAGGTCATGATTTCACGGTTGGTGGGATCGAGCCCCAAGTTGGGGTGCAGTGTCCATGGCACGAGAGCCTGCTTGGGATTCTCTCTCTCCCTCTCTCTCTCTACCCTCCCTCCCTCTCTTTCTCTCAAAATAAATAAGCATTAAAAAAAAAAAAGAAGAAGCAATTAACGATTCCAAAAGCTGTGCCGTTAATCACTACTCTAAACTGTCCAGTGCCTCACTGGTCACCCGGGGAGCCCTCACACATGCATTTGTCCAGTGACACAGTCCCTCCCAATACTCTCTCCCTCACTACCCCTTCTTTGCTTTTGTTTACCACACAGCAGATTGACTGGAGCCTGGGCATATGCTTCCAGTGAGCCCAGCAAGCAGCAGAAGATGGCTAATCAGAATCACAAAATGCATTTACTTTAGTTATTAACCCGTTGAGTTTTACTGTAAGAACCGGTACAAACCAAATGGTTGGTATCTGTGTTATTAATATTAATAAGGAACACACAGGGTAGGGATCAGCGTACTCTGGAGGGGAGGGGATTCCCCCCCACCAGACATCACCCCAAGGAGGCCAGCCAGGAACTGTCTGGCTGCAAATAGCATTATGCATACTGGACAGCTGGTTCCCGGCTCCCTCTCCAGTCCCTGGAGACAGGAGGCCAACTCTTCCCTGCTTCTTGTCACCTCTCTCTTCTGGAAGCATTAGAAATCAAGTCTGAGTCACTTCTCTGGCTAGACTTTTTTGTTTGTTTGTTTGGTACTAGCTCAGTATGTCTGTGGTCCTATGTGTGACTCTGTGTGTGTGTGTGTGTGTCCCCGGGTCCGGGTATGTGTTTGTGTATGTGTGTTATGTTCCTCAGAACATCATCTCATGTGCGGGTTTGCCTGCGACTTTGCCAGGAACATTGTGTGTTTTTCTCCCTGCACGTCTTTACTTTCAATCACCACCCGTTTTTGATAGTTCTATCAGCTTGTTTGCCCAGCCTGGGCTACCCCCACCCAGAGGCAGGGAATTTCCATCCTTTTTCCAAGGTAGGAAGTGCCAGGAAGAAAGCAAGTGTGCTCACTGGATGGATGGCCAAATCTGCTAGTCAGCTACTCCACTGCTGATCCTAGCCACGGGGAGCCACAGAGCTCCGCACCCGGAGCTTTCCTCTGGATCCTGGACATTCCACGCAGCTCGCAATCCCATCCCACCACGAGGAGTCCTCATTGACCCTCAGTAGCCCTCCCACCTCCCGCCTCTTCTGCTTAAAAAGAACTGGAGGTGAAGAAGAGATTCCAACCGGAGTGGGCCCCCTTTCCTCCACAGCCTCCCTTCCAGAGTCCAGGCACATAAAGGAAACTGAGGAAGGCTCACTTTTCACCTTAGAACTGCTGAGACCTGAATGTGTCCGTATGCTCTGTTTCCGAAAGGCTTCTGGCACACGGAAATTCACCATGCGTTTAGCATCACCCGTGGCCCTTCAACTCCAACGCTTGCTTCCTTCTGCCTCTCTCTTCTCTGGCCTCAACTTCCGCCCTCCCAGACCCACTGTCCAGCTTCTCGGTCCCCCCCCCCCGGGTCCCCACAGAGGCTGTCCTCTGCCAGAGAGGGAGAGTGGCCTTTCTTTTGGTCCCTAAAACTCCTCCAAAGGGGTCTGAAGGCAGCTAGGAGACCAAGAGCCTTTCTTGAATCTTGGCTGCTACGTGTTTAGTATTCACAGCGTGTCTCTGAAAAATGTCCTGAGATCATTCATCAGGCACTGTGCTGTGTGCCTAGCTACTCTCCTCTGGTGTGTGTTTGCGCGCGCGCGCGCGCGCGCGTGTGTGTGTGTGTGTGTGTGTGTGTGCGCGTGCCTGCGCAGGACCCTCCCTCCATCTGCTGGCGAACACACATGCACACAAACCTTAACCTCCTTCCCCTCTCACCAAATCAACCGCATGCTCCAAGCGGACCTTTGCCCGCTGGCAGATCGCTCCCTTCCCGAGGTGGGCTCCGGGGCTGGGCCTGGGCTCGAAGCAGCTCGCACTCCAGTGCTGGGGAGAGACGCTGCGAGCAGGAGCCAAGCGGAAACTCAAGGTGCGTGTGGATGTTGACAGTGGTGACCTGGAGCGGAGCTGCAGGGAAGGCAACCCCAGCGGAAAGCGAGCATATGGGAGGCGACGGGGGCTCGGGGAGGCAAGGTCAGGGGCCAGGGAACGGAGTCCCTGCGTGTGCGTTCCCGTCGCCCCCTCTACGCAGTTCGCTCCTCCACCCCCACCCCCGCACTTTCCCGGGTTCACTTTGGAAATTGGCTTGCCCTGTTAGCTGCCAGCAGTTCCCGGCAGAGCCCAAACCGAATGGTCAGGTTCAAGAAGTGAAGCAGCGCCGGGCTGGGTGGCTGGGTTGCTGGGTTGTCTTGGGAGATTCTTTCCCCAGTTGCCAATTTTGCGCTTATTTTTAGTTGTGACCCGAGCCGGGAGCTGTGCCTTTAAGCCGCGTTCCCATTCGGGGAAACCGACGCCAGCACTCGAGGGTCGGGAGGCGCCGGAGAGGCCCCTCTTTTCTGCACTCCCCCGCCCCCCTCCCCCGCCCCCTCCCCCACCCCTTCTCCCCTCCCCGCCTCGGCCGTCCGGCCGCCTCGCCGCCAGCCGTCACCTCGCCGCCTGCCGCACTCCTGGAGCGAGAGAGCAACGAGCGAGCCTCGGCGATGGTGCCGCCCGCGGCGCAGCCATGGAGCCCGCCCGAGGAGCCCGCGCGCGCCGCTGCCAGCCTGCCCGCAGCCCGCCGCCTGCGCGCCAGCTCCCCGTGTCCCGGGCCAGCTGCTGCCGCCCCGCCAGCCTCTGCCCGCCCCGCTGCCCGGCGCCACTGAGCCCCACGCCCGTGCCGGGCTCGGGGACACGGGCGCCCTAGTCCCGCCGCCGTCGCCGCCGCCGCCGCGCCGCCGCCGCCGCCGCCGACGAGGAGGAGGAGGAGGAGGAGGAGGAGGAAGAAGAGGCGGAGGAGGAAGGTAAGAGGCGCGCTGCCTTCAGGAGGGGGGCGCGCCAGCGGGCTCAGCCTGGCCACGGGTGGGTCGCGGCAGCAGCGTGCCGCTCAGGACCTGCTCGGGGGCGGCCGGCGCTTGGGCGCCCCCGGGAGCCGGGGTCAGGGCGGGGGGCGCCGAGCGTCGGGCCGCCCGGAGTTTGGGCAGGCGGGCGGGGTTGGGGGAGCGGCCGGTTGCGCGCCCGATGCCCCGAGAGTCGCCGGCTTAACGGGCTCGCCTTGGCCGCCGGGGGTGCAGGGTGAGGAGCCGAGTGCAGGGGAGTGCAGCGCGTTCATTATGGAGCCTTTGTGTGTGCGCCGGGGCCCTGGGCACAGTTGGGAGAGCTGGCGAGACACGGGGCCTGGCTGCTGGGAGGTGGCCACTTAGCCGGGGTGCCCGGAGAAGCCTAAGCCCCAGGGCCGCCAGAAACAGCTGTCTGAAGCATGTGTGTGGTTCTTGGGGCCATGTTCACACGCGGACACGGTCGCACACACACGCACACACAGCCGCACCACATACCCGGCGCTCAGCTACAGTCACCCCCATCCAAGGGGGGAAACACACAGACACACACAGAAACACACACACGCACACAGCTACACTTGCCCCCTCCACCAGGACGCCAATTAAGCAGTCACCCAAACACACATAGCTACGCACACTCCCTCCCCAGTGCAGAAAAACATGTACACACACAGACACACACACATTCACACACACACACTTCTACTCCCCAGTCTAGTGCGTTGGAGCTTGGAGAGTGTGTACGTGAGTGTGTGTGTGTGTGTGTGTGTTGTCTCAGAGTATCCCTGAGAAACTACATGACAACTGCACATTACTGCAGATCCAATACCTGCTGCCCCCCCTTCACACAAACACACAGCTACCCCCCACCCCAAGCTACTGTAGACACTGTAGACACCTCCACCAGGGCCCTTAAGAACTCCATTCTGGGGGGGGGGGGTAATCGTTCCCAGCTCTGATAGTCGTGCCCTTCCAAGCCTGAGCTCCTGGGTCTCCTGCATGCATACACACACACACACACACACACACACTGAAACCACTGCAGGGGCAAATGCTTGACACCTTTCCCCAGAAGCAGGTGGCACCCCCACCCTTGCAGCTGTCACCCGAGGGCCCTTGACCACAGTGTGCTCTGAGCCCTGCTGGACCTGTCCCCTCTTGCTGGCATCAGAGTCCAGCTGCAGAGCTCTGGAGTCCAGCCGGTGGTCTCAGCATCCTGCAGCTCTTGCGGAGGGCGGGGCAGTCTCTGGACTCCTGCCCATTGGGGAAATTGCTATAAGCCCAAGGCTCCCTTGGGGGCGTCCCTCTCAGGGGTGGAGGGTGGGGAATCTATGCTGACTCAGAGAGAAACCCCAACTGAGTTTTCCCTGCTGGAAAGCTGGGGTGAAAGGCTCACTTTGGCCTGCGGTTCAGCCACCGGGGGCTTTCAGCTGGGAGACCCTGCCTCTCCCTCCCCTTTCTCTCCTGTCAAGCTCACTGCAGAAGCCGGGGGAATCCAGTTCCTGGCTTCCTGGGAGCTGAGATAGGCTTCCCAGGAAGCCCTTGTTATTTTCACTGAGCAGAAGGCTCTCAGCACTCCCTGGGGAGACCTCAACAAGACTTGGCCATGCCCAAGCAGACATGCCGGCTTCTACCCAATTTCATGGCTTAATTTTTTTTTTTTCATGTGAGAAAAGCACGTAAACCTCAGTAGCCTCGCGTGAGTGAGGGTATCCCTGAGTTAAAATAAGACATAATGTGCGTGGAGGGGGCAGCAAGATTGGAACGGGGAGGACTAGAGGGTTTGGCTGGTTTAGGTGGAGACGCTGAGCCAGACACCAGCCCTTGGTAAAGTCGTGACAGAGATGGCTTCGACGTCAGAGCCCCGTCCCTGCACCCCTCCCGTCGGCTGCTCCAGTCGCCTCTGGGTCCCCTCCCCCACCCACTTAGACCTTTCAGGCGGGGCTTTGCTCCCTGGTTGGCAAATCTGTGGGCAGAATCCCAGCCTGGCCAAGGTGTTAATAGCTGATAATGTTTTACTGCCTTCACCTCTCAGGTAACATTTGCATTTTTTGGAAGGAGGCAGAGGAATGGCTCCATTGGTGGGGCTGTCGAGCACCTGTGGCTGGACCCAGGCTGGAGCATTTGTGGACGGCGTCATCTACTGTCTCTGTCTGGCCCCGACTTCTGCGTGATGTGTGCGTGGGAGTGGGGATGTGGGAAGGTGGGATGTAATTATGGAGGGCTTTGAGGCCCACAGAGAGAAGGTTTAAATTGATGTGAGAGGCAACTGGGAGCCACTGAAGGATTCTGACAAGGGAAGGGCTATGATCCAAGCAGGAAAGAAACACTCCTTGCTGCGTATGGAGGGATCCTCCTCTCTCTACCACCAACACCCACCACCACAATTGCCTTGCAACTGTGGACTGATGGCCACCAGAGAGAGAGGAGGCCAGCCAGGCTAGGGCGGTGGGAGCCCCAGGCTCCTGGCTCTGAGCATTTTCCAGACCTGAGGTGTGTGCAGATAAGCAGGGCTAGCTGCCCTAAACCAGCAAGTGCCGTCATAAACGCTAGCTAGTGATGCTATTGCTGCTGTGGCTGCTGGCAGTGTAATGGAGCTTCTACCTCCCTGGAAGAGGGGGCCAGAGACTCCTAGGAGGGCACAGGCCCTGTTTCGAATGAGTCAGGAGGACCTCCTGCACTGGTGAGTGGTACAGCCCCAGGGTCTTGGCAAGTGAGCTGTGTGGCCCGAATGGGGTATTTTGCCACCCATGAGGTCCTTTGGGAGCAAGAGTGGGTTGAAAAAGCGCAGCGGGAAAGCCCTGGGATTGCTGACCCTGGCCACAAGCCAGGTAGGGCATGGCGGTGGGGGTGAGGCAGTTGCAGTCCCAGGGTTTGTTGGGGGGGTAGAGTACAGGGGGGCCCAGGGGGGCACGGGCGGAGGAGAGGCGTCGGTCTGGCACCGCCCCACTGCAGTAGTCCCCACTTCCAGCCTGGGAGGGAGCACAGCTAGATGCAGGACAGGGTAGATGCTGGACAACAGAATCACCCTGCTCTCCCCCCACGCCCACTCTGCAGAAATGATTGGGCTTTGAGGGGAGCACCGGACAAGGCACCCTGAGAAGGTAGCACCAATGCAGTAGAGAAAGGATCCCCATTCTTGTGGAGCCTCTAGGCTAGCTGAAACCATAACACACACACACACACACACACACACACACACACCTGGAACAAATTGTGGGAAGGGAGCCCCATGCAGATGAGTTTGGCTTATGGGGGCTCATGCCTTCACAAGGCCCTAGCAATCATGTCTTTCTAGAGGGACAGTCCCCATTGATTCTGGATGAAGACCCTTAGCTTGGACAGGCCCCTGAGAGGAAGCTGCACCCAAGTTAGCTTCAGCCTTGGGCCAGCCTTTTGGCTATTAGCATTCGGAGCAGAAAACTCTGTTCTGGCTCTTCTCTCAAGGACTTCTGTTTTCCTTCTTACCATAAATTCAAAAAGAAAAACATTCACTTGTGTTACCAGCGACCAAAATTAAGGACTCAAAATGGGCTGGACCTTCGCAGCTCTGCTGAGAAATCCAAGCACTAGGGGCAGAGGGGGAGGGAACCATACCATCTCCCCTCGTTTCCACTTGCCCCCTCAGCTGTGCTGGGAAGGAAAGGCCAGGGATCTTGGGGCTTTGTATCATTTCCCAGCAGTGTCCCCTTTTCTAAGGGCACTATCCTTGCAATGGAAGTGGCAAGCTAGCACCTTACTCCCCTGGGTAGTCAGAAAATGAGCTTGGAAATCAGAGTGTGTGTATGACATGGGGGCAGGGGAAGGAAAAGAGAGAGGGAGAGAGAGAAGAGGCTGCCTGTTATATGTTTGTGTTAATGAACTTGAGACAAGCGGGTCTCTCTGTATGCATGCCATAGCTAGTGACCTTTCCTGAGCCTCCACTTCACCTTGGCATTAACCACACTGCTAGCCATCCTTAGGTCTTTGAAGAGCTCTCTGCCTGGTTGTGCTGTTTGTGTCTCTTTCCATCCCAGGGACCCCCCTCCTTTTGTCTCTGTTTTGCTAGTGCCTCCTCCCACCCCTCAAATCTGGGTGTCTTACGGCTCCTCTTGCTTTCTACTTCCTCTGTTGCCAAGGACAGCCGGCTGTGTCATGGCTTCCTGTCTCAGCCCTCTACTGGCCATTTCCTCTTCTCTAGCCCAAACTTAACCCCTCTTCTATATTTCAGCCCTAGATTCCCAGCTACTTGCTGAATATTTCCCCTTGGATAGTCTGTTAGTGTGTCAGACTCAACATTCACAAACCCATCTCATCATGTCTCAAAGACGACTTGCTCTTCTGACCTCTGTCATGCAAGCCCTCTAGTCACCCAGACTAGAAACCTCAGAGCCATCCAACTCTACCCTGGTCTGCCCCACCCCCTGCCACCATCTCGTATCTACACTGTACTGGTCTCTTTCCATCCCAGTCTGGAATATCCACACCTGCCAAATTAATATTCCTAAATATCCTTTATTCATGATGCTTCTGACCAACATCTTTGAGGGGTAATTAATCAATAGCCCGTGGGATAAGTTTCAGCTTCCTTAGCTTGACATTCAAGACTCCCCTTGAGTGGGCCTAATGCTTGCTGTATATTCTTAGAACTTCATTTCCCACTCTTTGTCCCCATCACAGATTCTCAAATTTTAATGTTTCTCAAAAATCACTTGCAGATTCCTAGTGAGAAATCTGCTTCGGTAGAAACAGTCCCACACGGACCCTCTACTCCAGCCAAATTTCTTCCCTCAGGGTCTCCTAAAACTGTCTCCTGTACATTTTTTTTGTCACCCATGTTGTTGTTCCTGCCATTCCGCTCACCAGGTGTCCCCCCTCCTCTTTGCCCATGCTCCTCTCCTGTCCAGGACCACTATCTCTGTCTTTCAATGCCACACTCAAATTCACCTCCTCTGTGAAGTCTTCTTGGTTCGCTCTAGACTGAAGTGATCTCTCTCTCTCCACTCTGAACTAGTCCTGCACTTACTGGCTCCAAAATACATTTGGCAAGCACATCACTGATAGGCCCACACTTATTTCTTGAACTATTAATTCATATATGCCTCACATACACATATAACTTCTCATATGCATATGTCTTATCTACATGATAAGCTCAATGAAGGGAAGAGCCTGGTGTTTTTCTTCTCTTTTTTAGCCCTATAGCACTCAATGCCCACACATAGCAGGTAATCAGTGAGCATTTGTTGGGTTGGATTGAATATGTGTTGGGTCATAGTAGAGAGGGAGTCTATCACATCTCCCCCTACATATCAGTTCAGTGAACATTTACTGAGCACGTGTTGTGTGCAAGGTGCTATACTGGTTGCTAGGGAGAATGTGAAGATGAAGAAAGTCCCTTGTCTTCCTCGGTCTTAGTCAGTTTTGCATTTACAGTGCCTAGTGCATATAAGAGGGCCTTGATAGATATTTGCTGAGTAAACAAGTAAATTAATGAGTAAGTGAAGGGATGAAGTTCAGACAGGAGTCACGTGGGACAGAACATAGAGTAGCCATGTCATAGAGAAATGAGGTAGAAGAGGAAGATAAAGCCAGAAAGGTAGGCTGAGGTATGGTGGATGACTATTGTTTTTGCTTTTTATCATGAACATCTCTCAAAGAAATAGAGAAAATATATAATAACCCCGTTTACCCATTATCCTCATTAAGTAATTACAGGGCTTTGCCATACTTGCTTCCTTGATCCATTTTTTCCTTTGCTTTGTTTTCAAACAAATTTTGAACATCAATCATGTCATTTCACCCCTAAAACTTCTCTATGAATTTCTAAAACACAGATATTTTGGGGCACCTGGGTGGCTCAGTCAGTTAAGCATCCAACTTCAGCTCAGGTCGTGGTCTCATGTTTTGTGAGCTCGAGCCCCGTGTCGGGCTCTGTGCTGACAGTTCGGAGCCCGGAGCCTGCTTCAGATTCCGTGCCCCCTTCTCTCTCTGCCCTCCCCTGCTCGTGCTCTGTCTGTCTGTCTGTCTGTCTCTCTCTCTCAAAGATAAATAAACATTAAAAAATTAAAAACACATTTTCTCACATAACCACAGTGTCATTAACACATTGAACAAAAGCAACAATCAGGCTTTTGTACCATCCATTATCCAGTCCATAATCAAATGTTCTCAATTTTCTCAAAACATGTTTTACAGTTAGCTTATTAGAATCAATACCTTCCCCCCCAAAAAAGAGCCCTACACATTACATTTCGTCATTATGTCTTTTAAGGCCCTTTCAATAGTCCCCTCTCTGTGACTTTTTAAAGAAGGCAGACTAGTTGTCCCGCACCCTGTCCCACATTCTGGTCCCTTTGCTTCCTTTTGTTGTCATTTAGCTTGTTCCGCTATTTCCTATATCTCTTATAAGTGGAAATTAGTGCTGGGCTTGATTAGATTCAGGCTCATTTTTCTTGTCCGCCCCCCCCCCCCACTTTGGCAGATTGATTAAAAGAGGGCCATCCTGGAAGCATGAAGGGGATAGAAATAGCTGGAAGGGGATAGAAAGAAGGAGATGGATAGATCAATTTTGGAGGTAGAAAAAACCCGATTTACCTACCAATTGGATGAGCGGAATAAGGAAGCAAGAAGACTCAAAGACGATTCTGAGGCTTAGAGCCTGTGTTGATGAGGAGAGTAATAATACCTTTATATGTGAAGGATGGGTTTTTAATGAGAACAGCAGGAATCATGGTTAGATTAAGGGAGGACCGTTCTCGCAGTAATAAGCCATCTACTCTGTTTTTTTTCCCAGACAACACTAACTTTTCCAGAAAACTTTTGGCTAGTGGTATAACCAGTTTGGTGCCCCCCAGAAGAAATTCAGAAAGGGCCTTCTTATTTTTTCTTAATGGCCAAATGATTTAATTTCCAGACCCAGAGCCTTGGGAGGAAGGATAGTCTGTACACCAATGGACAGAGAGAAGGTAATGCTGATATCGCCCTTGCAGATTGGTCAGCCATCCCATATCGTCATGGATATCAGAGTCACCAGTCTTGGGTGGAAGACTGAAGGATGCCACAGCTTGGGATTTCTGTAGACCCTGCCAATGAGTACAGCTCCTGACTGTACTCAGTCAGTGCTTCCTCAGGGTCCCCAGAAGCCTCTATTCCACACCCACCTCTCCATCCACTATGTAGCCTTTAGCCTCTCAGGCCCTCCGTGGCCCATGGCAACAGTGGTCCTGCCAAGTCCAAGATTGCCCAGCAGCCCTGGATATTCACTGGGATCTGAGAAAGACCTTATTTAGTTGCCTCAAGAACTCACTGTTGAGTCAGATCAGGTGAGAACAGCTCTCAGCTCCATTCTGTCATATCCCCATTCCTAAAAGCTCTCCCTCTTCCTTCCCCCAGCTCATCTTTCTTCCTGCTTTCTCTCCTGTCTCTCCCTCCCTGCTCTGTCTCTTCCAGCATACATGCGTTCTCTGGAATTAATCAAACACTGGCCCCCACAGCCTATTGTGTCTCAGATTGATCACTTAAGCAGCATTATTGATTGCTCCGAAAGCTTTAGGAGGTGGGAGTGGCCTGAAAAACTAGAGATCCAACAGCTGATTGGCTGACTAGGCCTCTCTGGGCGGCCTCAGCCCTTCAACTGCCTGGAACATCTTTTGAGAAAGGGGAGGGAATGGACAGAGAAGATCCTCAGAGGGCCTTAATTCATCTCACCCTTCCTTCATTTCGGAGGTAAGGCAAGGGAGCAGGAGTCCATTGAGAACCCCTGGATCTAGCCCAACGCCCATGTTATGATGAGAAGGGGAGAGCAAAGGACCGCTCTTTAGACATTCGTATTTTAACAGAAAAACCATACTTATTCATACAAAGCAACTAAGAATAATAAAAGCTGGGAAACAATTACATACTATATTATGTGCTTTAAACTGTAGGCACTGTAGGGGTTCAGGGCACAGAGAGTGAACAGCGTGGGCTGGAACGGAGGGAGAGGGCTTCCCAGAAGAGGCTGAACTTGGGTTAGGTTTTGAATAATGTATGCAGTTGAGGTCGTTGACTAGGAAAGGAGCAGGACTCCAAGGGAGAGGCATAGTTAGGGGGAAGACGGTGACGAAGAAAGGAATTCTGGGTCAGGGGTACTTGGATTTGAAGGGCCTTTGGTGTCAGCATGGGGAGTTTGGACCTAGACCCTGGGGGGCTGTTGGATGATTAATGAGAAGCATTTTAGGACGGTTAGCCATGTGATAGGAAGCCGACTTGATTGGAGCAAGGAGGAATTGAGACCAACTTGTAAAATACTATAGCACTCCGAGTTAGAGAGATGGCAGTGGGCATGGAGAGGAGGGTCAAATCCGAAAGTCACTTCTGCGTGGCTGGTAAACCACCAAGTAGATTCTCTTGACTTGGTTTTGCCTCACCCACTGCCGGTCCCCTTGTGAACCTCTGTACTCACACTTCCTTCGCCCCCCTGGCCTCAGGTTTTTCACCTGGCAGAATTTCAGAGGAGCTAAGAACATAATGAGTTGATCAGTTAACCATCCCAGGTAAAGTAGATTTGCCCCTGGGGCCCTGAAGGAGTGAGCCTTGGGGAATCTGGCTGCAGAATCGTGTTGAGATGGGGTACTGAGTGCTATACCCCCAACACGGAGGAGGGAGGCAGGGGCGGTCGGTTTCAAGCTCCCAAGACCGCTGTGGGGCCACTGAGAGCCAGGAGACCCCTTTCAGCTTCCCTGGCAGAATCAGTTCAAAAACGCCTCTCAGCACTTGGGATGGTCCCGGCGGAGGTCACACCTGTGCCAGGGCATGGGGAGAGCTACTACAGCACTTTAATGCCAGCTGGAGCCCTGTTGTTACAGCTGGTAGGAGAGAAAGAAGCAAGGAGGCCACAGGTGGGTGGAAAGGTGATGGAGAGGCCTCTGCCTGTTCATTTGCTTCCCCACCAGCTCTCCCCTCCCTGCCCAGCCCACTGAAGACCAGCCCTGGGCAGGTGTCTGGGCCGAGCCCCTCGTCCCTGGGTTGGAATGGAATTGAGAACTGCAGATAATGGGATACTTGTGGGATTTTAGCCCCCTTTCTCCTACCAGTTCTCCTTGGGGGAGGGAATGATGTCTTGTAAAGTTGGATGCATGCAGAGGAAGTCTGCCCAGGCTGTGGTCTCCTAACCACCAAGGGAGTTTGACTCTGGGGTTAGGACCACCCAAACAAGCCTCTCTTTGCTTCTGATCCAAACCCACTGGGAAAACAGAGGAACAGATGGCTAGACTGGTGGATGAACACTCACATGCGCACGCACGCACTCACACACACACACACACACACACACACGATAGTCCAGCGGTTTCCGGCATTTTCCTGCTGGAGATTTTTGTTCTGATTTCCGATCAGTCTTATGGTTGCTGGTTTGAGGGAGGGGTGACTGTTGGAAGGAGGGTGGTTGAGAAGTGGGCAGGTATGGAAGATGCTCATGGAGGTGGGAGATTTGAAAGAGGGAATGCAAGTCACTGACTAGGGCAGTTGTTCTATTTACAGCCCTTTGTATGGAAAAGCCCATTAGAAGTGGCAAGAAGATGGCACGGTGGTGACAATGGCGTGGGAGTCAACCAGTCAACCAAGACCTCTCAGTTCGGAAATCCTGGCTGCAGTGTGCGCTCACTGCTTCTCTCCCAAGCTTCGTCTTTCATCTGTCATTTCCCCCTTCAGTAATTGTTCTGTTTATCTTCCCGCTTCTAACCCAGACCCAAGCAAGTCTGCTCCCCGTACTTTTCCAGTTGACACAAGGGGAAACTGAGGTACCCAGATTATTTCTTAATGAGCCTTGCCTCTGGTCCCGTCTCAGGATGGCCAGAAGTATGGACCCTGTGGGCTGGGACTCTGGAAACCAGCCCACTCACCCGGGCTTGGGAAGGTGCTGTGCGTCATACCGGCTCTGTTGCTATGATCAGTGAAATCACCGAGAATGCAGATATGATTAATAAAGGGAGTGTTGTTTCCATATTCATCTCATCACCTACAGTCAAGCCGTAATCTTTCTAATACGTAGGGAAATCACTCACTGACAGAAAAAAGGAGGGGGATTTTTAAACAGACCCACCAGCCCGCTGTTGCTACAGTTTAGAGTCTGTCGCTGGCAAAGCCCAAATTGGACTTGACTGTTGGGTCTGCTGTTTTTCTTCCCCGCCCCCCCCCCCCCCGGGTTGCCACTCTCAGTCCAAATACAGCTCGTACTGCTTTGGGATTCTGGGTGATCACTGGAGATGATAAAGGCTGGCCTTTAACCTGAGCTCTGACTCCACTTCATTGTTACCTTTAAGGACATTTTCTCTGTGGAGTTTACCATCCCTTTAAATTGGCGACAGCTACAACCAAACTCAGGGTGTCTCCTCTCCAACCTTACGCTCCACCGATCTCCAGCCCTGCGCCCTTTCCAGCATCTCTGTCTCTATTAGTGACACCATCATTCTTTCCACAGCCGATGGGCTGAGCCTTGGAGTCAGTCACCCCCTCCTCATGCCCATCAGTCACCACCGTGTCTTGGCAGTTCATCTCTTGCAAGTGCCTCATGAACCCATGCCTTCTTGACCATTCCCACTGCTGCCATCATAGCCCCCACTCTGGTTCCCTCACACCCGGACTCCTGCAGCAGCGTCCCGACTGGTCCCTCTGCGTGCTGCCTCCCCCCCTGCCCCCCAACCTCTGCCAAGTGATCCTTCAAGCTGCTGCCAAAGGAATCTCCTTAAGACATCTTTCATCATGTCACTTCCCTGCTCAAGAGCCTATAATAGCTCCCTTTTGCTTACAATATCAAATGGGAACTCCTCCCCCTGGTATCCAAGGCCTGTCTTCCACAACAGCTGAACTTCACCGTGTATACACATGCTATATATAATCCTGTATATAATTTTATCTATGTGTGTGTGTGTTTACATATATATAATCGCTCTAACCTATGTCTTCCTGACTCCCATTTCCACCAGTCTCCTTATCTCCCTGCTCCACTTGTACCCCACTCACTCCTCTCTCTGCATTCATCTTTCTGCTGTCCCCCTAGCCTGCAGTGGCCCCCTTTTCTCCATCTCTGAAAATCCGTCCATCACATCTCTAAGAAGCTCTTAGAGGTCCAGCCTCTACAAGAAGCCTTTCCTGATCGTTCTAGCCCTCATTGGCCACCCTTCTTTTTATAAGCTTTCCTTGATTATGAAAGGAATACCTGTACACAGTGGGAAACTTTGCGAGTACAGAAAGATATAGGGGAAAAAACAGTCAGCCAAAATTCCCCCTCTTTTGAAACTTAGATCTTTTTGAATTTTGAAATTTTGAACTCTAGATCTTTTTGCCACCACAATTTAGCCGTTGAATACACTGTGTCATATTGCCTTGACTTCCCATACATTCCCCTTCGTCCTCAGCAACAGAGTGAGCTCTCCAGGGGCCTCGGTGCACGGCACACAGACAGATCGTAGGGGCCCAACAAACCCTAGTTAGTGGATGGAAGGCAGATGAGTTGTACATCATCCAGTCTGTGTCTCCCCCATTCCCAAGGAGAAGGGGTACATGCCTGGGCAGCCATGGCTCTGCTACTTCCTCTGCCAGGTGAGGAACACAACCCAGACACAGAGCTGAGAGTTCAGGGTTCATCATGCCCTGCGAGCCTGCTGCCTGACGACACAACCCTCTTGTGCAGTGCTGGTTTCTTTCTCCTCAGGAAGCCTCTGGCTTTGCGGTGACAGCGTTAATTCATCCTTGTGGCCAGAATGAGCTTCTCCTAACCTATTGGCATTACTTTGCAAGAGTCAATAATTGCCCCCTTTGTCCATCATACCAAATTGAAATCTCTCATCCCAGCCTTCAAAAACCACCTGCCAGTTCACTCTCCTTGACTTTCCCATCTGACTAACGTGTCTCTCATGGTTTCCGGTTTCCGTAACAGACCCCCTTCACTTGAGCCAAGCCCGCCAGAGTGCCGTGACCTCAAAACCTAGCTCCCCTAATGCCAGACAGTGGGTTATTCCCTACATATCACCCCCCCCCAACTCCAGCCTCAGGCCCTATATGGCCCAGTCCCTCTACCTTGAATCCTGTCCCTATTATTACGCTATTGCTCTCCACCGCTGAGGTCCACGATCCCGCTGACACGTGCTGCCACTGACCTCAGACTCAGGGTGCAGCCTTCTCTGTCCTTATGTAATCATTCTGTATTCAAATATTAATATGTGCTTGCTATTCTATTATCATATCAAAGCGTTCCCCGGCGAGTGCCCACCTGGGTTCTGTGAGCAGCATTAGGCATAGCGTGTACTTTGGAGCTGGCCTCACCACATACTGCAATTTCATGGTGTTGAAGACACGATTTTAACATTTCAGAAAGTGAAATACTTCTTACAACCCATGGTGCATTGTAATTTAGTTGCCAGCATCTTTTCTGTCTCAGGAAAAACCCAGGAAAGTGTTATCTCTAACATCTAGAGTCAATGAAATGAAGTGCTAGCTTACTCAGCCTCTCTGAGGCCCAGCCCCTTTACCTGCAAAATACTTATCACATCAGGGGGTTGTTGTGAGGATTCAAAGATAATATTTGTATAGAACTTAGCACAAGCCCCACACTTCAGTAGAGGCTCAATAAATGTCAGCAACTGTAATTCCACAACTTTATAAACTATAAACCCCTCAAGGGCAGGGACATGTTTATCCTTCTTCCAGCAGATGGGATGATGTGAAGGGTGGAAGAAGGTTCCCTCTCCAAAAATATCTTCTTTACTAGACTGCCAAACAGCTGAAATTTCAACATTAATCACTCCTTTGAGTTAAGGCATTATCTCCTGAAGACCTCTGTTAAAAATGCAAATATGTCACTTGGGAAGGTAACACATTAATTCATTAGCATTCATGATCCCATTAGTGCAGATGAGTTTATCAGATTAACTAGCTGGCACCAGGCAAAGCTGAGAGCCCTAAGAAGGGGGCCAGTGAGCTACATGCCTGTGGGCTGGAGTGGAGGAGCCTGGGGACGGGCGGTCCAGAGGGCGAGGCCACCTTCCATCTCCTGGAGCCTTTTGGGGTTTGTTTGCAAGACTGTGACTGCAATAAACTAGGAAGGAACTCAGTGACAGGGACAGAAACACACGGATGGGAGGAAATGTAAGGCCGGGAGGACAGTCGTTACAAGGTCATCTAGTTCAGTCTGCCCCTGAAATTTGTAATTCTCATCAGCAGGGCATTCACTGCCTCCTAAGGGAGCCCATTCCATTGTTTATCTGTTCTAATCAGAACATATTTTGCGATTGAGCTGAAAGCCCTCTCAGTAACTTGTTTCCTTCCGTTTCCTCTTGACCTATAGCTATCACATTTCCTTAAGTCTGTCTGTCTTTTTTTTTTTTTAAAGTTTATTTATTTATTTTGAGAGGGAAGGGGCAGAGAGAGAGGGAAAGAGAAAACCCCAAGCAGGCTCCATGCTCAGTGAGGAGCCCGACGTGGGGCTCAATCCCACGACCACAAGATCACAACCTGAGCCGATACCAAGAGTCAGATGCTTAACCGACTGAGCGACCCAGGCACCCCAAGTCTGTCTGTCTTTTGACTTTCAATTTATTTCACTTTTTTGGGCTAAATCTGCTGTTGGGGGTGGACATTTTCTCCCAGTCTGCAAGATTCTTCTAGCTGGTCTAAGAATTAAATTGACATGAGACAGATTAACAGGAGGAAAAAAACCCCAGAGTTTAGTTACATGCACACAGAAACCCAGTAGTGAAATTGAGACCTAAAGAAATAATCAAGGAAGGCAGTCTTTATACTTTTTAGACAAAGAAACAATAAATCTGTGAAGAATGGGCAGGACAAAGAGAACTGATGTTCGTTCGGGAGCTTCAATTAGTAAGAATTCTAAACAGAATTTGGGCTGGGGCAGTAAATTAGTAAAAAGTACCCAAGGCTGTTTCTACAGCCTTCTCAGCCCTGAATTCCCTCTCTCTGGTGGTAAGGATGTCTCTTTACCTCCCAATTCAGGGAGGGGACCTTTCACACGGCAGATTTATTTCCTTTCTGGAGACAAAGTGGAGGGTCAGAGTGTTCTTTTTGCACTGGCTGTTTCTTTAAGTAAACTTTACTTAAAATAATCAATATGCCAACGTGGCACATTTTTGGGCAGCCTGCCCTTGGCCCCTACTCTGCCCAGTTTGCTCGGTGATTCCTTGTGTGGTATGATTGCACAGCTGAGCTCCCTCACCTGGAGGTCCATGAACCTCCCAGACTTGAACGCAGAACATTGGCTAAATGTACCTGAGTACCTACATGTCTTCCCTCTGGCTTCACAGCTTTCCACAGTGGTCCCAGACCTAGAAGAGACCTTAGCCTATTGCCTTAAAGCGTCTCAGTCCCTATGCTCTGGTAACGCTCCAGAGTTTGTGAGAACTGTTTCTCAGGGGCCCTGCGTGGGACCAAACACGGTTCTACTCTAACCAGCACACAACACAGTGGACACAGTGCTTTTATGAACAGCTTGATAATGCACAGTTCTCATCTTTGGAGAGCACTCAGTTTAATGGATGAGAACATCTTGTTCCCAGGTAACTGACCCCCACCGGGACTAAGTCCCTCTTTTCAAAGGAGCCGCCTGCTCCCCACCCCTTAGCTTACCGTGTTGAAGAGCATCTCCGTTCTCTCTCTCTATCTCTCTCTCTTTCTTTACATTCTAAGATCTAACTGGCTTTATTCAGTGACTCATGAATCAGGCAGCATCCCTTCTAAGCAGGTAGAAAGGGGCTCGTCATCCTTATTCTTTTGGTGGGAGTCAGTGGAGGTCCCTTGTGGCAACCTAGCCGGTCAGGCCACTCAGTAGGCTAGCAGAGGAGCCGTGTGACTGGGCACAGCCCTTGAGTTGGCTCCAGTGCCCCCCATTTTCCCAGTCCTGTGCACTGTAATGAGATGATTGGTTCACACATAAGAGAGAACCCAGAGAGAGGCCTGAGGCTCACAGGTAGCCCTTCTCGAGGCAGTGGG